TGAACGAATTTTTCAGATGAAAAAAACTGATATTTTCTATGACATTACCCACTAAACGTTTTATAGACTATCTAAATGAAATTTAATAATTACGGATATAGTTACGAAAAAGGGCACAATCCGAAAAAAAGAAGATAAACTCGTCAGCGATAGTTTTTGCTCATATAAGAATTGAACATAAGAGTCTCAATGTCTACTCGTTCAATTTAAAACAATTTTACTATTATAACTTAGTGATTATTATTACAAGAATGTTGAGTACAGAGTATAGACAAGCTATTCATATGTGCGTGTGTATACATAGAATAATAATAAACGACGAATGTATCTATTGTATCCATATTATTTGTCATGAATGAATGACATATGTATCAGTATCTCTATGTGTACACATCGTACATCTATTACTAATCTTTTGTTTTTATTTGAAGAACAATTTATATTAGAGTATAGACATATTTTAATCAGACTCCATCTCACTTTCTCTCCGTTTTATGAGTTTTTTCAGAGAAGGTTAAACTACTTATATGCAAATTTGTTTTTTAATATAATTAATAATGAAAATAGAACGATTAGGGAAAAATAAAAATACAAACAGTATGAGAAAGGAAAGTATTCACGGAATATCTTCTAGATTTTAGTTAAAATAACCTCAGAGCGATGAATTTATTTATCTGTTTTCTCTAGGAATACATATTGCATGGTCCTCGTGAAACAACTATAGTATCCACAGAAGGCTCATTGAATGAACTACAACAGTTTTATAGTGATGATTCAAGTTTATATCGTCAACAAAGAGCAAAATCAAGTGTAGAAGATAATCAGATTCATAATGAACTCTGTCGTTTGCCCGAACATTTAATTACAGAAATACAATTACACACACCAACCGGATCAGGTAAGTTTCTTTTATCACTGTTAAATAGAGCAGAAGAAAAGAGATTTGAATTTTTACACATATCGTTTATCACACACATAAACAAACAAAGTTTTGTTTCCTTTTACAATCTGCTTCGAATTTTTCGACATTCTTAATGAAAAAAAAACGCGAAAAACTTTTATATAAACGATTTCCAGTATACTACGCAACAGCAGTACGCTACTAATTAGAAATATTTGTTAAGCTATAGAAAATCGACGTAGAAACTGCTCGAGCATTTTTTAAACGGTTATAACATGCTGTGAGAGCGATTTTATAATAGTTTATAAAATCAAATAGATTTTCTGCTTTTTTCATTCACTTCTTTGTTTTGTAGTTGTCTAATTATAAAAGAAAAGTAATTTTTACTGAAAGTTGACATGTTCAGGCATGTCACTTGTTTTGTAATAGTAACTGGGTTGAAATACGAGTTTCGATGAGACACTTCTTTGATAATATAGGGCAGCGTATACAACGACAAGTAGAAAATGCATCCAAATAGAAATCGAGAATGATTTTTAAAGAATTCATATATGAATCCGCTGGCGATTTTCCAGGTCGCAAATAGATAGAAAATCAAATCTTTTTTTCTAGAGAATTGAATTTTGATTTTCTACTTTTTTTTGAACATCACAGTTTTAAGACAGTAAAAAATTGTTGACAAACACATATATGGATTATTCGAAAACTTCCGTTCTCTTTTTATAACTTACACTTTCCACTTCACAGTGTAAATAGTCTACATAAATAAGATAAAAAAAGATATCTTTTATCTTTATATATAGATCATTACCGTACATAAAACGCAAAATTGATGTTTTTTAAACATCAAACCAAATATTCTTTTTATCTGTTTTTGTTTACTAATATATAATTAAATTAGACAAATAAATATAACATAAAACTAAAACGATCTTCTAGAGAAATTTCAGCTTTTTATGTCATTAATTTTATGATATAGATATTTCATTTAGACAGCGCGTGTCATAAGTATCTTTTCGATTGAAGCTGAGAAAAATAATTTTTTCTACAATTTTTGATGTAACCAGTGTAAAAAACCTACGTTTGCCATTTATGGAAACAGATCGATTGTTGATAATGATATATCAGACACTTTCGTTTGAAAAAAAATGAGAAACATCGCTTCGCTTCGCCAGTTAACCCTTGACAGCTGTCCCCAATTTGGGGAAAAGAGAAGAAGAAACAAAAGATTTTAAATAAAAATTTACACCATCTGCCATTATACAGACCGACTTGTCTGAGTTTCGTGTATCTTATACAAAATATAAGTTAAATTTGAGTTCTTTACGTTTAATTTCTTTAGAAATTTCTTATACTACCATTTATGTTTGTTTGTATGGGTTTTAAATTAGAGAGTAGTGAAAAGTTTGACCAAGTAATTTTTGCTTTTTCCTTTTTTTTTGTTACAAGTTTCACGGGCGTTCTGAATGACGTAATCTTCCTGCAAAATTAGGGCCCGTATGACAAGAACATCTCGTTTTATATAAGATGACCTTACTTTCTCCAAATATTAAACATTAGAAATCTAAAAGGAATTCTCTGTCATTTTGAGTCATCAAATGTTACTAAACGAAATTCATCTCGATTTTGTTTTATAACCATAATACGCTCTGTTAGCTGTTGTTAGAACTGTTGTTTGTTGATAAAGATAATATACCTTTTTGCTCTAAGATATTTAGTTATTGTTTCTTCTGTGTAGAGATAATACCTTTTAACTGAAGTAGACCTTTCTGTATTGGTCAGAATCAGCTTTTTTTCTTATAGGTTAAGAACAGATTGTTAACAGCGTAACTTAGAAAATTTATAACCAAATCCAAATCTAACCTATAGCTTGAACTAGATTCGGTTTAGCCTGCACATCACTCTATCTACAAGTACTATGTAGTATTTTGATACAGTATTTAAATTGGTTTTTCTTCAATCTTGAACGAAAAATAGTTGGTTAGTTGAAAATTATTGATTATTCAAATGTGTTTTAATTTTTACATCTCTATTGGACAGCCCACTGTTTCAAACATCGAAATGTGAAAAAGTTTTTTTAATCATCTTTTCTTTGTGATTATTCTCTACATCAACCTAACAAAACGTTTTATTAGAATATTATTTTAACAAATTTAAACCCATAGAAAGGGGCAGACGTTGCCGAAGAACAGAAAAATTCTAGTAAGTTAAATTTTGCACTGTTCATCTTTTTGAAACATATTGGAAAAAGTTGTTGTTCCATTGAAATCTGTGTGAGTGATGAAGATTTTGTTGTATTTGGTAAATTGAACGATTGAGCCTTACGTTTATATCGTGTTAACTCGACATCTATCTGTTCAAATCGTCTTCTCTATATTGTTAAGAATTTAACAAGAAATGCAAACATTTATCTAATGGCGAATGCCATTCTGTAGAGGACACAAAACTTTCTATGTTCCATAAGTTTTAGTTTTTCAAAACAAAAATTAACGGCGTAGGAAAATTTACTAACGGAGTGGCTACGCTGGTTTGTATTGGAAAAATATTGCTGTAGGATAATTTGTAAAAATTATAGCATCGTTCATTAATATTTTGAAAAACTAAAACTTATGAAACACAGACAATCCTCTACAAAATGGTCAATTTAGAAAAATTTTCTGCATTTGATCTCTAGTTTTCTGAAGATCCAGTTTTCAGAAGACCGGTCAACAAAAGCCTAAGAGCAACTCCGATGTTCATATTTGGAGTCAGCATTTATAATTACATATAGTCCATCAAGTTCCATTTAAAAATTAGGTCCAAAAATACTTCATTTACAACTTGGGTCCTTTCCCTCGTTAGTTATGAATCAATTTAGTCAGCAATGACAGTGGTCATCAAGGTGTTGGATGCATCAGACAAACTTTTAGTTAGATTAAAGTTTCATCAAAGGATGCTATTAACCGTAATACAGCATAACTTCGAGAGAATATTTGATAGCACTATCTTTTTCCTCTATCGATTGTTTTTTTTTATTATTTAACTGACGAAAAACTCTTTTCGACACAGTGTTTTTCTGCCGTTTGTTTTTTATCCTTTATTTATTTTTCTTCTCATTTTTTTCTCCTGAATAAATAACACTCGACTAATCCTATTTGATTAGCTTCAACTACATACTGATCTATCGCTTTATAGTTTTAAAAAAATATTATGTTGTGTGTGTGTGTTATTTGACAAGTTTCATTTGAATTTAAATCATACTTATAATACTCTATTGACATAGACACCAATGATTAGCTGTTTTTTTTTGCCCAGAACTTTCAAATAATAATATGAAAATAGAAGAAAAATAAAATTTTTCAATAATTCTTATCAATATTTTGTTTTCCACTAGTAATAAAGATTAAATCTAGTATTTTACATATTTTAAAAGATTTTTTGATAATATTGAAAATATTACCTGTTGAACATGTCATAAAATTTTTCAATGTAATATATTTGTCGAAAATGAAATTGATTTCCATATGATTTATTTCCTATAAAGGCGTATATTTATCACTGGGAATATTATTTCAGACGAAAATACGATTATATATCTATTCTATTTGAAGTACACAGTATTAGAACACATTATCTGTTATAACATATGAACTCAATATGATCAATAAAAAGAGAGAAGAGACAGTTTTTTTAATGAAATATTTAATCGAGAAGAGAACGTTTATCCATCGTATTGTCTTTTAATAATTTAGTTTAGAATCAGAAGAGGTTTTTCCAATACATTCGTCAATTATCCAACGCTTACTGGAGTCAAAATCATAGGAGACATAAACCTACTGAATGTACGAGCTCTGTCTGTACTTTGATTGACAAGTTTTCAAAACTGTGCCATACGAGTGGTTCATTTTTTCTTCTTTCTTCAATTACAAAAGAGAATAAATTGTCTGGTTCTATGTAGATACAATAAAAAAACAACAACAGCAGCTTATCTCCTCATATTCTGTTATAAATTCATGATAGTTCACCTTAAAATCGTTTGTTTCAAGTATAATTTTAGAAATTATATACACGCACGCACACTCTTCTCTCTAATACACATAAATTTTAAATTTAAAACAAAAAATGAAATTTAACATCTCTTTATTTTTTTTTATCTATTTTTAAACAAAATGTTTATTTTATGTTTTATTGAAAATATAAGTCTTTCTTTTTATACATTTATAAACATGTAGGTTAGAATCAGATTACACTGACTGAAAGAAATAATTTAATCCTATCAAAAAATAAACTATACACGACGCTGTTATATGGTTTTCATTCAAAATTAAATGAAAAAGAAAAATAACATAAAATTTAACTGAATCTATAAGTAAATATATATATATAAAAAAAGTTTTGATTATTTAGGCGATATATGTCGAGTTTTATGTGATAGAAATAAACAAGGCGTGCATACACACTCACAAAGTGTGTTAAAAATATCATATATCATTCAAAGTAAAAAAAAAATTTGTATACAAAAAAGAAAAGGAATTGAAGTAATCAAGGATGGGATAGTATTACACACACACAAAAAAAAAAAATATATATATATATATTTTGAACCTTGGCTATTTTATTGATTGATTATACATATGGTGTCTAGAAGGAGAAAAAAAGTTAAAAGTTATTGAGTCCACAAAGCTAATTGTTTGTGTGTGTAGAGATTTCATACAATTTTTGATTTTTGTCGTAGATTTTCAGATGGTTATGAAAAACTTTCAATTTTGATTATTTTTTTAAATCAAGAAGTTGAAAAATTCAAGTGTACATTTATACTTTATGGAATTATTTTCAAAATTTCCTAATAGATTAAATTAAATAATATTTCTGCGTTTTAAAATTTTTTTTTTTTTTTTCTTTGTGTTACTGTAATCCTAGACATGACCGACTATTTGAATCTTATTTATTTTAAAATCAACCTTGTATGTCATTATTATTATTATTACTATTATTTAAAAAAGAATTTAGTCTGAGTGTGTGTATGTGTGTACGTACGATAGACAAATAAAACAGAAAAAAAA